GGATACCTAGTAGAACAGGATATCTGGTAGAACAGGATACCTAGTAGAACAGTATATCTAATAGAACAGGGTATCTGGTAGAACAATGTATCTGGTAGAACAGGATATCTAGTAGAACAGAATATCTGGTAGAACAGGATATCTGGTAGAACAGGATGTCTGGTAGAACAGGATGTCTGGTAGAACAGGATATCTGGTAGAACAGGATGTCTGGTAGAACAGGATATCTGGTAGAACAGGATGTCTGGTAGAATAGGATATCTAGTAGAACAGGATGTCTGGTAGAACAGGATGTCTGGTAGAATAGGATATCTAGTAGAACAGGATAGCTGGTAGAACAGGATATCTGGTAGAACAGGATGTCTGGTAGAACAGGATGTCTAGTAGAACAGGATGTGTGGTAGAACAGGATGTCTGGTAGAATAGGATATCTGGTAGAATATGATATCTAGTAGAACAGGATGTCTGGTAGAACAGGATATCTAGTAGAACAGGATTTCTGGTAGAACAGGATATCTAGTAGAACAGGATGTCTGGTAGAACAGGATGTCTGGTAGAATAGGATATCTAGTAGAACAGGATGTCTGGTAGAACAGGCTATCTAGTAGAACAGGATGTCTGGTAGAACAGGATGTCTGGAAGAACCGGGTATCTGGTAGAACCGGATATCTGGTAGAACAGGATATCTGGTAGAACAGGATATCTAGTAGAACAGGATATCTGGTAGAACAGGATATCTGGTAGAACAGGATATCTGGTAGAACAGGATGTCTGGTAGAACAGGCTATCTAGTAGAACAGGATGTCTGGTAGAAGAGGATGTCTGGTAGAACAGGATGTCTGGTAGAACAGGATGTCTGGTAGAACAGGATATCTGGTAGAACAGGATGTCTGGTAGAACATAATGTCTGGTAGAACAGGATGTCTGGTAGAACAGGATATCTAGTAGAACAGGATGTCTGGTAGAACAGGGTATCTAGTAGAACAGGATGTCTGGTAGAACAGGGTACCTAGTAGAACAGGATATCTGGTAGAACAGGATACCTAGTAGAACAGGATATCTAGTAGAACAGGGTATCTGTTAGAACAATGTATCTGGTAGAACTGGATACCTAGTAGAACAGGATATCTAGTAGAACAGGATATCTAGTAGAACAGGATATCTGGTAGAACAGGATATCTGGTAGAACAGGATATCTGGTAGAACAGGATATCTAGTAGAACAGGATATCTAGTAGAACAGGATATCTAGTAGAACAGGATATCTGGTAGAACAGGATATCTGGTAGAACAGGATATCTAGTAGAACAGGATATCTGGTAGAACAGGATATCTGGTAGAACAGGATATCTAGAACAGGTAGAAGAACAGGATATCTGGTAGAACAGGATATCTGGTAGAACAGGATATCTAGTAGAACAGGATATCTGGTAGAACAGGATATCTGGTAGAACAGGATATCTGGTAGAACAGGATATCTGGTAGAACAGGATATCTGGTAGAACAGGATGTCTGGTAGAACAGGATGTCTGGTAGAACAGGATATCTGGTAGAACAGGATATCTGGTAGAACAGGATATCTGGTAGAACAGGATATCTGGTAGAACAGGATATCTGGTAGAACAGGATATCTGGTAGAACAGGATATCTGGTAGAACAGGATATCTGGTAGAACAGGATATCTGGTAGAACAGGATATCTGGTAGAACAGGATATCTGGTAGAACAGGATATCTGGTAGAACAGGATATCTGGTAGAACAGGATATCTGGTAGAACAGGATATCTGGTAGAACAGGATATCTAGTAGAACAGGATATCTGGTAGAACAGGATATCTGGTAGAACAGGATATCTGGTAGAACAGGATGTCTGGTAGAACAGGATACCTAGTAGAACAGGATATCTAGCAGAACAGGATCTATAGTAGAACAGGATATCTGGTAGAACAGGATATCTGGTAGAACAGGATATCTAGTAGAACAGGATATCTGGTAGAACAGGATATCTGGTAGAACAGGATGTCTGGCTGAACAGGATATCTGGTAGAACAGGATATCTGGTAGAACAGGATATCTGGTAGAACAGGATATCTGGTAGAACGGGATATCTGGTAGAACAGGATATCTGGTAGAACAGGATATCTGGTAGAACAGGATATCTGGTAGAACAGGATATCTGGTAGAACAGGATATCTGGTAGAACAGGATGTCTGGTAGAACAGGATATCTGGTAGAACAGGATATCTGGTAGAACAGGATATCTGGTAGAACAGGATGTCTGGTAGAACGGGATATCTGGTAGAACAGGATATCTGGTGGAACAGGATGTCTGGTAGAACAGGATATCTAGTAGAACAGGATATCTGGTAGAACAGGATATCTGGTAGAACAGGATGTCTAGGATCTGTTATGGGGGTTTAGTCCTGGATGTGACTCTTTGTGGGGTGTCACAAACTGTCAGCTAGCAGCCTAAAGGGGAGGGTGGAGGGGAGAAGGTGTCAGTCAGTCAGACTCCATAGTCACACCTACATAGTATACATTTTGTTTATGAACATAGAAAGCTAGTCTCAAAAACTATACTTGTCTTTCATACTTTGTGAATTAGTCGACATATTATGCTCATGGTAAATCAGTCTATAAGTGCTCGCATCTTGAACCTAGTCAGTCCGGCAGTGTGTAAAATCAAGCGGTTTCATCTTCTTCATTGGCTTTCTGGATAGTGCTAATGTCTGGCCACACTACTTTAAACATGTTGTTCTTCCAGTTTGGTCATGGTTGTAGACTGACAATCATCACCTGATTCTCGCAAACGTCTTACTCCTCACAGAGCCTTCAGAATCTCAGCCTGGTCCAGTAGTCATCCGCCTCTCATTGTAGCATTACCAGTAAACAGGATATCAGCTTCTGTCTGGTAGAACAGGATTGCTGGTAGAACAGGATGTCTGGTAGAACACGATGTATGAAACTTATATCGGTCGGCCCCGAGCGCCATTGACTTCGGACCTCTGGCCCAACTTTTATCTGGTAGAGCAGGATATCTGGTAAAGGGATGCGTCTCTAGCCATGCTCTTGGTTTGGGATACTGGGGTAAGGATGTCTGCATCTCTAGTAGAATGCTCTGGGAACAGGATGTCTGGTAGAACAGGTGTCTAGGATCTGTTATGGGTCTTAGCCCTGGATTTGACTCAGGTCACTGGGTGTCACAAACTGTCGTCTCTAGCCAAAGCTCTTGGTCAGGAACTGTCAGTCAAATAGGTCTGCCTCTCTAGCCATGCTCTTGGTACACTGAACATAGAAAGCTAGTCTCAAAAACTATTTTCATACTTTGTCTCTAGCCATTATGCTCTTGGTAAATCAGTCTGGTCTCGCTCTTGAACCTAAGGGTTGGCAGTCTCTAACCATGCGGTTTCATTTTCTTCACTGGGTATAGTGTTTGCGTCTCTAGCCACACTGCTCTTGGTTTGGTCACTCTGGTAATGGGTTTTGACTCTAGCACTTGCTCTTGCAAACGTCACTTAGGTAATAGAGCCTGCGTCTCAGCCTGCCCAGTATCGTCCGCCTCTCATTGTAGCATTGCAAGTAAACCTATCAGCTAAAGGTTTTGCTTGGCACGAGCCATTATATGGTTCGGCCCCGAGCTAGGTAAAGGTTTGCGTCATCTTCGGACCTAGCCCATGCTCTTGGTCCTGAGTCACACTCGGGTAAAGGTTTGCGTTTCTAGCCATGCTCTTGGTTAGGTCACTGGGTAAAGGTTTGCGTCTCTAGCCATGCTCTTTGTTAGGTCACTGGGTAAAGATTTCCGTCTCTAGCCATGCTCTTGGTCAGGTCACTGGGTAAGGGTTTGCGTCTCTAGCCATGCTCTTGGTTAGGTCACTGGGTAAAGGTTTGTGTCTCCAGCCATGCTCTTGGTGAGGTCACTAGGTAAAGGTCTGCGTCTCTAGCCATGCTCTTGGTTTGGTCACTGGGTAAAGGTTTGCGTCTCTAGCCATGCTCTTGGTTAGGTCACCTGGTAAAGGTTTACTTCTCTAGCCATGCTCTTGGTTAGGTCACTGGGTAAAGGTTTGCGTCTCTAGCCATGCTCTTGGTCAGATCACTGGGTAAAGGTTTGCGTCTCTAGCCATGCTCTTGGTTAGGTCAATGGGTAAAGGTTTGCGTCTCCAGCCATGCTCTTGGTTAGGTCAGCGGGTAAAGGTTTGCGTCTCTAGCTATGCTCTTGCTTAGGTCACTGGGTAAAGGTTTGCGTCTCCAGCCATGCTCTTGGTTAGGTCACTGGGTAAAGGTCTGCGTCTCTAGTCATGGTCTTGGTTTGGTCCCTGCCATGTCCGACATGACTACAAATGAAAATCTCAATGAACTAGTTAATCACCTGTTTATCTAGGTGATGTGTCTAAGACAGCCAACAGAGAATGGAAGACATAGTTTCCACTAAAGTTCCACGCATTTGGGTCGAACTTTTCTGAGGCTGCACCTACAGAAGTTTGATTTGTATTGGAACTTTATTGGCGACCTTGTACCGAGCTGCCAACTCTTCTGGAGTGGTCCATTGGTTGTGACTCAGTTTTAGGGAGGTCACTGTAAAACTCCACAGCGCTCCCTCCCCCATCCTGCCACCTATTCCCCCAGGGTTTGAGGTACTTTACTGCAAATAAAGTGGACGCCCCTCATTCTTGAAGGTTTGGGGTGGGGAGAGGGGAAAAAAAGGGGGGGGGGTTTCTCTACAAATAGGCGGGAATACACTACACGGTATTGCGGTATCTGGAAAGTATTAGACCTGACATCAACAGCATAGTTGACTTAACTTTTTGAGTCCCAAGGAACGCATCATACGTTCATAAATTCCTACCTAGAAGCCCAATGAACTCAAGATGGGCCGATTTACGTCTCTCTTGACTACCCCTTGAGCCTGGGACGCTTAACCCCCTGGGATTCAAAGAGTTAATGAGGAGACAACTGATAGCATGAATGCAGACAATCACTGGCTTTATTACCCCTTTGTCACAACTCATCAACGCCTTTCCTGCATGTCCATTGGCATTTCCGTTGGCCTCGGCTCTCTCCTTTCTCTGTTTCCTGCAATAGAAAACATCATCAGATGTCATCCATTGATCGCAAGGGATCCATTCATTACACTTGATTCAATAATTAGACATGATCGATGTTGGACTACACTGATTGATTCATTACATTAGTAATTAGTCAATATCTATGAATTAGGCATGATTGATGTTGGACTAAGACGACTGACTCATTAGTTAGAAGTGATCCATGAATTAGGCATGATTGATGTTGGACTAAGACGACTGACTCATTAGTTAGACGTGATCCATGAATTAGGCATGATTGATGTTGGACTAAGACGACTGACTCATTAGTTAGACGTGATCCATGAATTAGGCATGATTGATGTTGGACTAAGACGACTGACTCATTAGTTAGACGTGATCCATGAATTAGGCATGATTGATGTTGGACTAAGACGACTGACTCATTAGTTAGACGTGATCCATGAATTAGGCATGATTGATGTTGGACTAAGACGACTGACTCATTAGTTAGACGTGATCCATGAATTAGGCATGATTGATGTTGGACTAAGACGACTGACTCATTAGTTAGACGTGATCCATGAATTAGGCATGATTGATGTTGGACTAAGACGACTGACTCATGAGTTAGACGTGATCCAGTAATTACAGGTGACCAAAGTTTTACTACTAAGTAATTTGTTTCAATTGTAGGATCCATGTCATGCGGCGTTGTTATCATGTCTATCAAAACCTTTTGTCTGATGAACTTTTAATCAACTCTGGCACAGATGATCTTCCATGTCATGCGGCGTTGGTATCATGTCTATCAAAACCTTCTGTCTGATGTACTTTTAATCAACTCTGGCACAGATGATCTTCCATGCCATGCGGCGTTGGTATCATGTCTATCAAAACCTTTTGTCTGATGTACTTTTAATCAACTCTGGCACAGATGATCTTCCACGCCATGCGGCGTTGGTATCATGTCTATCAAAACCTTTTGACTGATGTACTTTTAATCAACTCTGGCACAGATGATCTTCCATGCCATGATGTCAAATTGTCCAGCTTATGTTCTCTTTGTCTCTCTCTGCCTCTCCTTTCCTTCAACTTTCCTACCGTCACAATAAACCCCAGTTTTCTCCTTCTCATGACACGACCAGAGAATTTGATTGTCTCTTTCAGATGTGGGCAGTCTGCTTCCTTCGCATCTTTGAAGACATATTTATTATTCTGTACATCTGTCTAAGGTATTCTCACCATTCTCATTGTTTATGTGTGTTTGTCTGCTGGTGTTTCTATAAGGCTATATGTATGTATCTCTGTGTGAGGATGTCTGTATGTCTGTCTGCTGGTGTGTCTATGAGGCTATATGTATGAATCTCTATGTGAGGATGTCTGTATGTCTTCATGAGTGTATGTGCCAGTATGTGTTTGTCTGTGTGTGCACCTCTATGTGTGTTTGTCTGCTGGTGTGTCTATGAGGCTATATGTATGTATCTCTGTGTGAGGATGTCTGTATGTCTGTCTGCATGAGTGTATGTGCCAGTATGTGTCTGTCTGTATGTGCACGTCTATGTGTGTTTGTCTGCTGGTGTTTCTATGAGGCTATATGTATGTATCTCTGTGTGAGGATGTCTGTATGTCTGTCTGCATGAGTGTATGTGCCAGTATGTGTCTGTCTGTGTGTGCACCTCTATGTGTGTTTATCAGTGTGTATTGTGTGTGCCCCTTTGTTGTGTGTATGTGTCTGCATGTCAGAGTATATGTCTGTGCGTGCTGTATATATGTGTCTGCGTGTGTATTTCTATGTGTTTGTCTGTGTGTGTGTGTCAGAATGTGTTTGTCTGCCTGTTTGTCTATATTTGTATGTGTGTGTGTGTTTGACTGCGTGTGTGTCTATGTGGCTGTATTTATGTGTCTGCATGTTTGTCTGCGTATGTGTGTGTGCATGTGTGTCAGTTTGTGAGCACGAATGTATATATGTCTGCTGTGTGTTTCCCTGTGTGTGTTTATATGTAAGTGTCTGTGTGCGTGTCTGTATTTTTGTCTAAGTGAGCGTGTGTGTGTCTCAGTGGGAGTGTCCGTGTGTGCATGTGTGTGCCTGCATGCATGACTGTATTTATGACTGCATGTTTGTATGTATGTATATATGTATGTTTGTATGTGTGTTTGTATGTGTGTATGCCTGTATTATGTCTGTCTGTCTGTCTGTCTGTCTGTCTGTCTGTCTGTCTGTCTGTCTGTCTGTCTGTCTGTCTGTCTGTCTGTCTGTCTGTCTGTCTGTCTGTCTGTGTCTGGGGCTGTGTCTGTGTGAGTGTGTGTGTGTGTGTGTATGTAGGTATGTTTGTGTGTATGTATGCCTGTATGTATGTTTGTATGTATGTGTGTATGTATGTATGCCTGTATGTATGTAATGTATAAATGCATGTATGTGTGTGTAAGTGAGTGGGTCAGCGTGTGTATGTGGGTGTATGTATGTATATGAGTGTGTGTATGCACGCGCGGGTTTTTGCATGCACTTTACAACGCATGCTTTTGTGTTCTTTTATAATATTCATAATGTGCATATCATCATATGATTATAACATGCTTTATTAGTAAAATACAACTGCTGAAAGATGGTTGACTGGAAAGGCCGAATGTAAGACGGGCCTGCTTGCCCAATTTGGGACCCTTTGAAAATAAAGTTCGTTCGTTCATTCGTTCACCATTCTTCTGTACAACAATATCTTGGCAGCTTTCAAAAAATATTTGACTAATCTACCAATTGCCTGTGATTCACTTCCGTATATCAGCATAGGATTTATAAAGGTTTTATGAATTCTCTGAATAGATGAGTCATGAGCTGAGAACTTGTCACCTGTCTCACTGGGACGAGAGTCTTTCATCTCTACACCTCGTGCAGCGCTAACTGTTTAACGTATTCTTCCTCTTCTAACGAATGGTGTCCTCAAAGACTGCAACCAATCAAAGCCGAGACACTCAAGCAATAATGTTCGACAAACTGCTGCGGGATTCTCAAAACTTACCTCTTCTTGACCACCAGATAGACGATGACCACTGTTGTAATGATAATTAGAACTACAACTCCTGCGGCGATTCCGGCTTTTTCGACTTTGTCTGCCGACAACACTGCAAAGAAAACAATGTTTGCTTTGATACTTTAAAGTACAGTCTCATAAACTGCATGCATGTATCGTATCTTGTTTCAAACAGCGTTGCCAGGTACACTAGTGAATATGTACAGACAAAATGTTTTGACGCATTAGGCATTCCTTCTTTTTGTCAACGATCACAAGCTGTAAACTGTGGCGGAAAGTTGTGGTTGTTCCCCCAATTTCTTGATTTTTATCTTATTTTAGAACTTATGTTTCGCGTGTACAATCGTTTTACAGATCTGGCTTATTTGTATGCAGATTGTTGGTTTCTTGCCTCTCATGCAGATGCACTCTAAGGAAATATCCATAATTAGTGACTTGGACGCCATACTGTTTGTGGGACGGGTGTGTAGTGGGTCTATTCTCCCCAACCTCCCATAGCACCCCAGAACCCACACAGGAAACTTTCATGTGTCACTACATGTGAACATCAGCAATTACCACCCGTGAACGCTAGTAATCACCAGAAGTGAACGCCAGCAATCATCCCCCGTAAACGCCAGCAATCACCACCCGTGAACGCCAGCAATCAAAAGAAGTGAACGCCAGCAATCACCAGAAGTGAAAGTAAGCAATCACCCCCGTAAACGCCAGCAATCACCAGAAGTGAACGCCAGCAATCACCACCTGTGAACGCCAGCAATTACCAGAAGTGAACGCCAGTAATCATTCCCGTAAACGCCAGCAATCACCAGAAGTGAACGCCAGCAATCACCAGAAGTGAACACCAACAATCTCCAGAAGTGAACACCAACAATCACAACCTGTGAACGCCAGCAATTACCAGAAGTAAACGCCAGATATCACCACCCGTAAACGCCAGCAATCACCACCCTCTCCCCCCTCCCATGAACGCCAGCAATCACCACCCGTGAACGCCACCAATCCGAGTACAAAATGAGGCCATGAGACTCATACTTAGCTGCATAAAAGACACCTGCTACAACGCCATGAGTTATGTTCTGGGTTTGCCGACGATGACTAGCAGATACAAAGTGGCACCTGTCAAGGCGTACATGAGGGTATCGACAGACGATAACCACCTACTGCACAAAGATATAAACGACACAAAAGGAACGTGTCTAAAACGAGTCTGCTCTTGGATGAATTCCAGAGAAATTTGACTAAAAAGCTCAACAAAATGGGAAAAAGGAAAACGTGCACAAAACAACACAACGTAACGTTTCGGCCAGGCAGCCTTTTTCAGACACAAGTACACACACTTGGAGAGTATGTAGATCTCTAAGGGGTGACGTGAGCGACGTTTAAAAAATGTGATGCGTAAATGAAATAAAATAAAATAAACGATGGCTAAAAAATATAGTCACTACTAGTAGAAATGCAAGTGTTAATGATACATAAATGATATTGATAAGAAATAGAATATGGTAATAATATGAAATAAAATAAAATAATTAACTTGTAAAATGTAATAAGATTACAACATTTAGATGAAGGTATGTCATGGCTTGTAGAGGATACACACAGCAGGTTGTGGCCTAGAAGTGATCAGTCACGGAAAAGAATGTATGAATACATCAGTAGACATGCATGGCATCACTAAGGTTGTCATCACACTCGGAAGGTACTGCATGGATCAAATTCCTGCGGCCGTACACACACTTGGGTCGTCACTTGTAGCGTACACACACTTGGGTTGTCACTTGTAGCGTACACACACTTGGGTTGTCACTTGTAGCGTACACACACTTGGGTTGTCACTTGTAGAGTACACACACTTGGGTCGTCACTTGTAGCGTACACACACTTGGGTCGTCACTTGTAGCGTAAACACACTTGGGTTGTCACTTGTAGCGTACACACACTTGGGTTGTCACTTGTAGCGTAGACACACTTGGGTTGTCACTTGTAGCGTACACACACTCGGGTCGTCACTTGTAGCGTACACACACTCGGGTCGTCACTTGTAGCGTACACACACTTGGATTGTCACTTGTAGCGTACACACACTTGGGTTGTCACTTGTAGCGTACACACACTTGGGTTGTCACTTGTAGCGTACACACACTTGGGTTGTCACTTGTAGATTACACACACTTGGGTTGTCACTTGTAGCGTACACACACTTGGGTTGTCTCTTGTAGATTACACACATTTGGGTTGTCACTTGTAGCGTACACACACTTGGGTTGTCTCTTGTAGATTACACACACTTGGGTTGTCACTTGTAGCGTACACACACTTGGGTTGTCACTTGTAGCGTACACACACTTGGGTTGTCACTTGTAGCGTACACACACTTGGGTTGTCACTTGTAGCGTACACACACTTGGGTTGTCACTTGTAGCGTACACACACTTGGGTTGTCACTTGTAGCGTACACACACTTGGGTTGTCACTTGTAGCGTACACACACTTGGGTTGTCACTTGTAGCGTACACACATTTGGGTTGTCACTTGTAGCGTACACACACTTGTGTTGTCACTTGTAGCGTACACACACTTGGGTTGTCACTTGTAGCGTACACACACTTGGGTTGTCACTTGTAGCGTACACACATTTAGGCACACACAATTGCTCTGTTAAAAACCTTGCCTGTGCGTGTGGTCACAACAAGTCTGCAGTGGGATCAACAGTCACAAATCTGCAGTGGGATCAACAGTCACAAGTCTGCAGTGGGATCAACAGTCACAAGTCTGCAATGGGATCAACAGTCTCAAGTCTGCAGTGGGATCAACAGTCACAAGTCTGCAGTGGGATCAACAGTCACAAGTCTGCAGTGGGATCAACAGTCACAAGTCTGCAGTGGGATCAACAGTCACAAGTCTGCAGTGGGATCAACAGTCACAAGTCTGCAGTGGGATCAACAGTCACAAGTCTGCAGTGGGATCAACAGTCACAAGTCTGCAGTGGGATCAACAGTCACAAGTCTGCAGTGGGATCACACACAAGTCTGCAATGGGATCAACAGTCACAAGTCTGCAGTGGGATACACACAAGTCTGCAGTGGGATCAACAGTCACAAGTTGTAGAGTAACACACACTTGTGGTCAACAGTCACTTGTCTGCGTACACACACTTGGGATCAACAGTCACTCTGTAGCGTACACAGTCACAAGTCTGCAGGGGATCACACACAATTGCTCTGTTGCAGTGGGAAAGATCTCTGCCTGTTCGTCTGCAGTGGGATCAACAGTCACAAGTCTGCAGTGGGATCAACAGTCACAAGCAAACAGGGCGTTCTAGTCAAACTGATTGACCGATTGAAGATGCCAACCAGGGGGATGAGAATAAAGATGAAAATGAAGATGAGAATAAAGATGAGGATGAAGATAAGAATTAAGATAAGAATGAAGATGACAATGAAGATGAGAATGAAGATCAGAGTCGTTGTACAGAAACACCAGCACAACACAACTACACAAACATCACAGAAAGAGTGAAAAGAGAAAGGGAGTGAAAGAAGAGAGAAAGAGAGAGACAGACAGAGAGAGAGACAGAGAGAGAAAGAGAGATAGACAGAGAGAGACAGAGAGAGAAAGAGAGAGACAAAGAGAGAGACAGAGAGAGACAGAGAGAGACAGAGGAGACAGAGAGAGACAGAGAGAGAGACAGAGAGAGACAGAGAGAGACAGAGAGAGATAGAGAAAGAGAGAGAGAGACAGAAAGACAGAGAGAGAGACAGAGAGAGATAGAGAAACAGACAGAGCGTACACAAAGTGATTACCGAAAACGCTATCGTCGAATTCCTCACAGCGCGTGCCCCGCCATATTTCTGTACATCTGTGGATGAAATGGCAGCCTGATGACAGAGATGTGACCCTGTGTCAGAGTGAGGAAGAGAGGAGGAGAGAGGAAGGGAGGTGAGAGACGTGGAGGGAGGGAGAATAACAGAGAGACAAACATATATACAGATTAACAGAGAGAGGCACAGAGAGAGAGAGAGAGAGAAGAGAGAGAGAGAGAGAGAGAGAGATAGACAGACAGACAGACAGAAATAGACAGAGAGAGAGAGAGAGATGTTATCTCTCTGACACGTGATATATTACAGTTGTAGTTGCAAAGACCGGTGGATACAGGAAATTGAAAATACATTGGCTGTGAAAGCACATAGGGCTGGAAAATTAGCTAGAGAAGGAGACTTTTTGGCGTGCCGTTTAAAGAGCGACATTCTGTAAAATTCATGCTGATTACTGACTGATACAATAAAGTTTCACTCTTTAGTTAAGTGGTTGGCTCACTTCCTCTCGCAGCCTGCTTATCCCAGACATCATAGTTCAGACGCCGCACCATCAGCACTGATGTCTCATCCCAGACACCATAGACAGACGCCGCACCATCAGCACGGATGTCTCATCCCAGACATCATAGACAGACGCCGCACCATCAGCACTGATGTCTCATCCCAGACATTCTAGTTCAGACGCCGCACCATCAGCACTGATGTCTCATCCCAGACATCATAGACAGACGCCGCACCATCAGCACTGATGTCTCATTCTCAGACATCATAGACAGACGCCGCACCATCAGCACTGATGTCTCATCTCAGACATCATAGACAGACGCCATCAGCACTGTTTGATTCATAGAGATCAGCAGCTCAAGAAGCTAAAACATTGTACATACAAACCTTGTCATTGACATTCTCACTTGTGTACATGTTCATGCAAACCTTATCATTGACATTCTTACTTGTGTCCATTCTCATACAAACCTTGTCATTGACATTCTCACTTGTGTCCGTGTTCATACAAAGTCATTGACGCCGTGTCCATTCTCATACAAACCTGATTGACATCTCATCCATTCTCATACAAACCTTGTCAATGAGACAGACCGTGTCCATACAAACCTTATCATTGACATTCTCACTTGTGTCCATTCTCATACAAACCTTGTCATTGACATTCTCACTTGTGTCCGTGTTCATACAAACCTTGTCATTGACATTCTCACTTGTGTCCATTCTCATACAAACCTTGTCATTGACATTCTCACTTGTGTCCATTCTCATACAAACCTTGTCAATGACATTCTCACATGTGTCCGTGTCCATACAAACCTTGTCATTGAAATTCTCACTTGTGTCCATTCTCATACAAACCTTGTCATTGACATTCTCACTTGTGTCTGTGTTCATACAAACCTTGTCATTGACATTCTCACTTGTGTCTGTGTTCATACAAACCTTGTCATTGACATGCTCACTTGTGTCCATGTTCATACAAACCTTGTCATTGATATTCTCACTTGTGTCCATGTTCATACAAACCTTGTCATTGACATTCTCACTTGTGTCCATGTTCATACAAACCTTGTCAATGACATTCTCACTTGTGTCCATGTTCATACAAACCTTGTCATTGACATGCTCACATGTGTCCACGTTCATACAAACCTTGTCATTGACATTCTCACCTGTGTCTGTGTTCATACAGACCTTGTCATTGACATTCTCACATGTGTCCATGTTCATACAAACCTTGTCATTGACATTCTCACATGTGTCCGTGTTCATACAAACCTTGTCATTGACATTCTCACATGTGTCCGTGTTCATACAAACCTTGTCATTGACATTCTCACTTGTGTCTGTGTTCATACAAACCTTGTCATTGACATTCTCACATGTGTCCGTGTTCATACAAACCTTGTCATTGACATTCTCACTTGTGTCTGTGTTCATACAAACCTTGTCATTGACATTCTCACTTGTGTCTGTGTTCATACAAACCTTGTCATTGACATTCTCACATGTGTCCGTGTTCATACAAACCTTGTCATTGACATTCTCACTTGTGTCTGTGTTCATACAAACCTTGTCATTGACATTCTCACATGTGTCGATGTTCATACAAACCTTGTCATTGACATGCTCACTTGTGTCTGTGTTCATACAAACCTTGTCATTGACATTCTCACCTGTGTCCATGTTCATACAGACCTTGTCATTGACATTCTCACTTGTGTCCATGTTCATTCAAACCTTGTCATTGACATTCTCACTTGTGTCTGTGTTCATACAAACCTTGTCATTGACATTCTCACTTGTGTCCATGTTCATACAAACCTTGTCATTGATATTCTCACTTGTGTCCATTCTCATACAAACCTTGTCATTGACATTCTCACATGTGTCCATTCTCATACAAACCTTGTCATTGACATTCTCACATGTGTCCATGTTCATACAAACCTTGTCATTGACATTCTCACTTGTGTCTGTGTTCATACAAACCTTGTCATTGACATTCTCACTTGTGTCCATGTTCATACAAACCTTGTCATTGACATTCTCACTTGTGTCTGTGTTCATACAAACCTTGTCATTGACATTCTCACCTGTGTCTGTGTTCACATAGACCTTGTCATTGACATGCTCACTTGTGTCCATGTTCATACAAACCTTGTCATTGACATTCTCACATGTGTCCATGTTCATACAAACCTTGTCATTGACATGCTCACTTGTGTCCGTGTTCATACAAACCTTGTCATTGACATGCTCACTTGTGTCCGTGTTCATACAAACCTTGTCATTGACATGCTCACTTGTGTCCGTGTTCACATAGACCTTGTCATTGACATTCTCACATGTGTCCATGTTCATACAAACCTTGTCATTGACATGCTCACTTGTGTCCGTGTTCATACAAACCTTGTCATCGACATTCTCACTTGTGTCCATGCGATTGGGGGAAGAATGAAAGTGTGCTTTCTGGGACAGCTGTGAATAGATTGGAGAACCAAGGAAACAAACAGCGATGGTCTGGGAGAGGTTGCTGTAGACTGATCATTGTTTGTGACTGTTGTGTGAGAAAGGGACGTGTGTGGCTAGAACCCCGAGACCTGACAGTGACCAGACGACTGGTGAGCTCAGCGACAGAGAAACCGAAAAGGTCTGAAATTATAAGATGGTCGGATCTGGCAAAATTATCTGTTTAACTGATCGACGGCATTACAAGGCGAGATCCAAGCATCTGGCAAGGCACATTTCATCATGTACTTGCTTGTTTATATGTATACGCTTTGCGTATGCGTGTGTGTGTGTGTGTGTGTGTGTGTGTGTGTGTGTGTGTGCATTTGTTTGTAGAAAAGCTTTCTATAAAAGGAAAACAGAGGTGCAAATAAGCGTCTCTAAAGGTGACGGTATTTAACACAAAGTGTCGACTACAGTAGTTGTTAAACAAATAAAACCTAAACAAGGTGCCGGTACTGTGTACAGGAAAAACTAAAAGCTTTGGTTACCAGACAGGTGTCAGTTTGTCATCAATTACTTACTGACAGTAAGCACTCCTGGAATCTATGAGATCCATAGCAAAACATGTGCCTCCATTCAAACACGCCGCCTCTTTGACCTCCTCCTGTGTACACTTGAGCCGACTGCCCGAGGGAGGGCGTGTGATATGGCCGGAAAGTCTGGCCGTTGTTCGCTCAATCGGGTTGACTGTTGTCTCCTGGGGTTTAGTTCTGGCTGGCGTGCGGCCGCAGCCATCTGTGGACAGGATTCTACCATCAAGGATTGTCTAGACCAGATGCGGGTGTTGTGTTAGCACGGGATCGGCTGACATTTGGCAACATGCTTGGCTCAATTAAATAATATTGTCTACGTGGCCATTTTAGGAATGGACAACGGAGAGTTAAGAATGCCTAGGTTTTATGTCCTGAGATAATCAACCTGAATAGTAAACAACATAAGTGTTCTTTCTGTATGTTGTGTCATGAAATTTTCCGGTTGGTTGAAGTCATTTCGACAACAACAAACGTTGCAAGCTTTTGTGGTTCGGTGATTAGTTGACTTGCCCCTCCCCTCCCCCCTTTAGCAAGATGGTTATTGATTTGCCAAGGAACCAAATTGTGCAGCTGACCTTGCTTCTATTCTCAATCAGACTAAAATAGATTCAAAGGAGTCAATATTGTCAATAAACCTAACAACCAATCAGATAACCAGTGAGACAACCAGATAGACAACCATTCAGACAACCAACCACCCAGACAACCAGTCAACCAACCAGTCAGCCCACTAGTCCATCAACCAGCTAAACAATCATTCAACCAACCAACCTGCCAGTCAAACAACCATTCAGGCAACTAAGCAATCAAAGAACAAATGAGACAACCAACCAGTCAAACAACCATTAAGACAACCAAGCAATTGAAGAACCATTCAAACAACCAACCAGTCAAACAACCATTCAGACAATCAAGCAACCAAAGAGCCAATAAAAAAAAATTATAAAAAAAAAAACAGTAAAAAACCAATCAAACAACCAATCTGCCAAATAAACAATGAAGCAACCAATCAATCAAACAACCAATCTGCCAAATAAACAATTAAGCAACCAATCAATCAAACAACCAATCTGCCAAATAAACAATGAAGCAACCAATTAATCAAACAACAAATCTGCCAAATAAACAATGAAGCAACCAATCAATCAAACAACCAATCTGCCAAATAAACAATGAAGCAACCAATCAATCAAACAACCAGTCTGCCAAATAAACAATGAAGCAACCAATCAATCAAACAACCAGTCTGCCAAATAAACAATGAAGCAACCAATCAATCAAACAACCAATCTGCCAAATAAACAATGAAGCAACCAATCAATCAAACAACCAATCTGCCAAATAAACAATGAAGCAACCAATCAATCAAACAACTAATCTGCCAAATAAACAATGAAGCAACTAATCAATCAAACAACCAATCTGCCAAATAAACAATGAAGCAACCAATCAATCAAACAACCAATCTGCCAAATAAACAATGAGGCAACCAATCAATCAAACAACCAATCTGCCAAATAAACAATGAAGCAACCAATCAATCAAACAACCAATCTGCCAAATAAACAATGAAGCAACCAATCAATCAAACAACCAGTCAACCAACTAATTAGCTAATCAGCATTATTTAATATTTATTTTTCAAAATCGAAAGAATAACCAGATGAACTTACAAACATCTTCTAGCTGAAGCAATCTGATTTCTAGCGAAGAGGCAACGGATACCATGACGATTAGACACACAAATAATATAGGCCTTCATGAAAGAAGAGCTTGTGTGTATGATGTGGGGACAAGTAAACATGAGCCCTGATGATAAGAGACACACTCGATGGGAAAAGAGCAAAGGTTAAGACAAGAAAATAATACTCGGATGGTTTGAGGATATCATATAAACTATCATATAAACTATCATATAAACTATTATATAAACTATCATATAAACTATCATATTAACTATCATATAAACTATCATGTAAACTATCATATAAACTATCATATAAACTATCATATAAACTATCATATTACCTATCATATAAACTATCATGTAAACTATCATATAAACTATCATATAAACTATCATATAAACTAGACAGGAAGACAATGCGAAACTCTGGACAATGTTGGAGATTTCAAACCAAGACCTCATTCGCTGACTGCCCTGGCACTTGACGATGATGATGTTGAGGAGCACAGTGCAGATACTCACCTGATATGTGTAGGAAGCAGACGATCAAGAATGTCAGTGTCAGACGGAAGTTACCCTGGCACATCCTGGTGACACATGGGGAAGTCAATGGCTGGCTACTCTCATGACCAACTGAAGTCTGTCAATAAAAGTAACATGTTTATAGCAATAAAAGTAACATGTTTATAGCAATAAAAGTAACATGTTTATAACCAGAGGGAAGTTTCTTTAAACGACGGAGGACTGGCCTTGCAATATGTGCAAGCTAATCATTGATTGAATGATTGTATGTTGCAAACAGAATCACGAGCCAATAAACGTAGCTGACTTTTTCCCCCCAGAGAAGCATAGGCTCTCAACCAATCTATGACCCATCGTTCTGTCTCGGTAACACCACTCAATAGCACACATTTCAACAGGATACACAAATACACAATTTAGACCCCCCAGTGAATGCATAGTTGGGATCCACTGATTTGAAATTGTACCTCAACATGTTTCACTTTTCACTTGTTATATATTCATGTATGAGCAAGCAAACAGGAAAAATATAATGTCAAGGTATCAGATCATTACGACAGCAAATGTAATGTATGTAATGCTGAGTTTGTACACCATGTCAGTAATTTATCAGGGGAAGTCGATAAGTAAGTAACAAATAATTGTAAAACACACACACACACAATATATATACAATGCCAGCTTGAAAACCGTTAATTTTTACACCTACACTGTCTCTTTATTTTTCAACATAATTTCCACAAACATTGATGCACTTATCTCATCGTTTTATCAGTTCTCCCAAAACTGCTGCAGGGAACTGCGTGCTCTATTTTCTAAGCCATATTTTCACCTCACTTTTCACTTTTGCGTCTTTAGCGCAATGTCTCCGGCCGAGGTAGATTTTTAGTGAACCAAAAACAAGAGGAAAATCGCTAGGGGCTGAGTCCGGGCTGTAAGATGAATGTTCCAGAAGCTCCCGCCTTCTGGAGTTAACCCAGCCGTGTTTGGTCTGGCATTCTCAAAAAGGAGCAGTACACCTCTAATCGGCAAGCCTAGATATTTCTTCGAACTGCATCATGAATCATCGATAGAACTTTAGAGTATGAATCAGCATTCACATTACCATGTTTTTTTTTTAAAATTCGTTAACAACACTCCTGGACAATCCCAGACCACTGCGAGAATAACCTTCCCTGCTAATGGTTTAACATTGAATTGTTTAACACAAGGCAAATAATGATGCTTCCATTACATTGAAGTACGCTTTGATTCGGGCTGGTAGTGATGTACCCATGATTTGTCCTTAGTAACAATCCTACACAGCAACTCTCCACCTTCATCTGCATATCGACAAAGATGTTGCAAGGGCAGGCCTAATCGCCCCATTTGTGTTCGTCCGTCAATTACCTGGGTAAACAGCTTGAGTACAGTTTTTTAAATTCAGTCGATCATGCATTTTGTTGTTTGCTGAATCATGTGAGCACCCTACTGCAGCTGCTACAGAGTCAGCTGTTACTCGCCTGTCACCCCTACTCATCTCCTCCACCCGCTGCTCGGATTCGTCTTTTGCAATCTCAACAGGACAACAAGATCGAACTTCATCAACAATTTTAGAGCTTCGTTAGGAATTTTTGTGAGTGACTGACTTGTTGACTTTCCCTCATATTTGTGTTGTTAACATCAGACACGGAATGACGGAAATAAAGGAAGGCGGTACATCCGTGCCAACATACACTTCACGAATGGGAATGAAACGTAACTAGTACATGCTCAAAACAATTGTTTTTCTGTGAGTTGCCTCCCGTGATAACAAAAGTTAAAGACTAAAGAAACAACTTGATTGCACTTGTCCATATTCCACTGGACTCAGTCTCTCTCGACACAACGGCTAGCCACCTGCCAGAAGCATCACACAAAACACGAGCTCTGTAGTTTCAGCAAAAACTACAGGAGTCTTCTTAAAATCTGCTCTAGTGAACAAAACGACTTGTCCGTGTCACAAAACCACGATATTAGGAGCGCGAGACAACTGAACTGACCGCATCGCCACCACTGACCACATCGCCACCACTGACCACATCGGCACCACTGACCACATCGCCACTACTGACCACATCGCCACCACTGACCACATCGCCACCACTGACCACATCGCCACCACTGACCACATCGTCACACTGACCACATCGACACCACTGACCACATCGTCACACTGACCACAGCGTCACACTGACCACAGCGTCACACTGACCACATTGCCACCACTGACCACAGCGCCACACTGACCACATTGCCACCACTGACCACATAGTCACACTGACCACATCGCCACCACTGACCACAGCGTCACACTGACCACAGCGCCACCACTGACCAGATCGCCACCACTGACCACATCGCCACCACTGACCACAGCGTCACACTGACCACAGCGCCACCACTGACCACAGCGTCGTACTGACCACAGCGTCACACTGACCACAGCGTCACACTGACAACATCGCCACCACTGACCACATCGTCACACTGACCACAGCGTCACACTGACCACATTGCCACACTGACCACAGCGTCACACTGACCACATCGCCACCACTGACCACAGCGTCACACTGACCACAGCGTCACACTGACCACATCGCCACACTGACCACATCGTCACACTGACTACAGCGTCACACTGACTACAGCGTCACACTGACTACAGCGTCACACTGACCACATCGTCACACTGACTACAGCGTCACATTGACTACAGCGTCACACTGACCACATCGCCACACTGACCACAGCGTCACACTGACCACAGCGTCACACTGACTACAGCGTCACACTGACCACAGCGTCACACTGACCACATCGCCACCACTGACCACAGCGTCACACTGACCACATCGCCACCACTGACCACATCGCCACCACTGACTTCATCGCCACCACTGACAACATCGCCACCACTGACTACAGCGTCACACTGACCACATCGCCACACTGACCACATCGTCACACTGACTACAGCGTCACACTGACTACAGCGTCACACTGACTACAGCGTCACACTGACCACATCGTCACACTGACTACAGCGTCACACTGACTACAGCGTCACACTGACCACATCGTCACACTGACCACAGCGTCACACTGACCACAGCGTCACACTGACTACAGCGTCACACTGACCACAGCGTCACACTGACCACATCGCCACCACTGACCACAGCGTCACACTGACCACATCGCCACCACTGACCACATCGCTACCACTGACCTCATCGCCACCACTGACCACAGCGTCACACTGACCACAGCGCCACCACTGACCACAGCGTCGTACTGACCACAGCGTCACACTGACCACAGCGTCACACTGACAACATCGCCACCACTGACCACATCGTCACACTGACCACAGCGTCACACTGACCACATTGCCACACTGACCACAGCGTCACACTGACCACATCGCCACCACTGACCACAGCGTCACACTGACCACAGCGTCACACTGACCATCTCGCCACACTGACCACATCGTCACACTGACTACAGCGTCACACTGACTACAGCGTCACACTGACCACAGCGTCACACTGACCACAGCGTCACACTGACTACAGCGTCACACTGACCACATCGCCACACTGACCACATCGTCACACTGACTACAGCGTCACACTGACCACAGCGTCACACTGACTACAGCGTCACACTGACCACATCGTCACACTGACTACAGCGTCACACTGTCTACAGCGTCACACTGACTACAGCGTCACACTGACCACATCGCCACACTGACCACAGCGTCACACTAACCACATCGTCACACTGACTACAGCGTCACACTGACTACAGCGTCACACTGACCGCACCGCCACACTGACCACAGCGTCACACTGAACACAGCGTCACACTGACTACAGCGTCACCACTGACCACAGCGTCACACTGACCACATCGCCACCACTGACCACATCGCCACCACTGACCTCATCGCTACCACTGACCACAGCGTCACACTGACCACAGCGCCACACTGACCACAGCGTCACACTGACCACAGCGTCACACTGACTACAGCGTCACACTGACTACAGCGTCACACTGACCACAGCGTCACACTGACTACAGCGTCACACTGACTACAGCGTCACACTGACTACAGCGTCACACTGACCACAGCGTCACACTGACTACAGCGTCCACACTGGCCGTTGAACTGTGCCTCTTTTTCTTCAGCATGTGCGCTTTTGTGTGTCTGATGCAGATTATCTGTGGACCCGCCGGTATCACAGGACTCTCCTTCTACACTGAACCTGGTTTCAGGAGCACAGAAGACTAGTGACCAAACAGATCACACCTTTTGTTCAACACACACTGGGATTGTCTCGACAAGTTTGATCACCAACAGTTAGAAAATGATCAATGTTGGGGTTACATCTTTCAAGTGTTTAAGACCGCAGGTGACAAGTTTGGTTATGTTTTCCACAGATTCCACTTTGAGGGAGAATAAGTTAGGGATGGGTAGGTATGTATTGTGTACGTGTGTGTTTGTGTGTGTGTGTGTGAGAGAGAGAGAGAGAGAGAGAGAGAGAGAGAGAGAGAGAGAGCGCACGCCTATTGGTGCGTTCACGCGTGCCGCATTTTTAGGTTTACTTCAACACACACACAAAAGCCTATGGGGTGGCAATTTTGCACACCCACATGTACAGGAGTTGGAAACACGAGCGAAATGACGCTTATAGGATTGTCTGCTTGACCACTTGGCCGCGAAGACCCTTCCACACATACCCAAAAACACACAC